AACAATGTTTGTTATTTCTCAGCCAAAGGGTGAGTCCCAAAGGGGCTTACAAGGGAGCTTATGTGCCCCAGAAGAAGCAATGTAGATAGGATTCAGGCTGCTGTGGTTCTAGGTACAGCCTGAATTACCTATGAGATTTCTAGTGTAATGCACAGCTAAATGACCACAAGGGGCCCTGATACTTGGAAGTCCAATAAAGCAATAAAAAAGATAATTGTATAGTGTCATGGATTTCTTTGGAAGAGTTCAAGACTCATAAGAGAACAATATACAATAATGTAAATGAAAACATCAGTAAATGGCACTGAACTCCCATTAATTGCAATGAACGACCTTGGTTCTAAAGAACAGAAGTGACTGATATGCCTCCTGGGTAGAGGTGAGGAACAATTGGTGTAAAATGTAGCATAAATTGCAACACTGGATTGCTTTTTTGGATTGGTTATGTTTAACTGATTTAATTGGTGCCAAGGGAGGATGGAGAAGTGTATCAGAAAATGTAATTTTTTAAAAGAAATTAAAATAGGGGGAGAAAGTTCAAGGTTAAAAGATGAGAACATGGGGCAGTCTGACTATTAGAGTCCTCTAAAGTGCCCAATAACTCAGTAGACTACTTCTTTTTTTTTTGCCTTAATTTCTCCATCTGTAAATTGGAGGCAGCTAAACTTTCATGGAACATCACAGGCTTTGGGATCCTTGAATCCAAGAATCTATGGGTCATTTCCGAGGTTTTCAAAGATTTTTTCTGCCTTTCTATCTTGACCTAATGGTTAGAAGCCTGGCCTCAGAGTCAGAAGACCTGAGTTCAAATCCAGCCTTTGGCTTTCCTATACCTAAAGTATAAAGCTGAGTATCCCCTTATATCAGAGGAAACCAAGGTTTGGGTCTCTCATGGGGAAATTCCTATGTTTGCCTTTTTAGAAACAGTTGACAGTGGAGTAGATTGAGAACTGCACTTGGAGTCAGGAACACTCGAGTTCCAATCCAGTCTCAGACACTTATTAGCTATGTGGTTTTAGGCAAATCACCTAATCTGTCTTTCTGGGGCCCTAATACTTCTGTAACATGAGGAGATTGGACTCAATGACCCCTATGATCCCTTCGAGCTCCATATCTATAATCCTATGATCTTATGATCTGTGACCCCGGAAAAATTATTTAATATATTAGAGCCCCAGTGAACTCTCTAAGGGCAGCTAGGTGGAGCAGTAGATAGAGTGCTGTGCCTAGACTCAGGAAGACTCATCTTCCTGAGTTTAAATCCTGTCTCAGGTACTTACTAGCTGTGTGACCCTGGGCCAGTCACTTAACTGTTTGCCTCAGTTTCCTCATCTTTAATATGAACTGGAGAAGGAAATGGCAAACCACTCCAGTATCTTTGCTAAGAAAACCCCAAATGGAATCATGAAGAGTTGGACACGACTGAAAACAACTCAACAACAGAACTCTCTAAATCTATAAGTGGCATTTAATGATTTGCACTGGCAGAGAAAGTTCTTCACCAAGAGCTTCCTATACTAGTGAAATCATAAGCCCAGTTTAAAAAAAAATCCTGCCAAGCACATAATGGGTGTTTAAATAAATGTTAAAATGAAATTAAATTAATTAAATGGTGTTTGCAATTCTGGGGAGGGACTGAAGGAAAATATCCTGGCAGGTGTTCCATCCCTTCTTGAAGCCCTGGAGAGCTGACTCTTCAGAAAGGGTCTGGCCTCTCTTGCGACGTGAGTCTAGCACACACCTGTCAGACACATGTGGGCAGGTAGCCAGAAGGAACCAATTTTTCTTAAGGAAAGGATTCTCCAAAGGACTTTTTCTCTATACGAATTTTTTTTTATAAGTAGGGCTAGCAAGAATTGGAGGTGAGCTGTGCCCCCTACTGAGGCTGGGAAGGAGTCTGTAGAATCTTCTAATAAATCTCTCTACTGGGCAACCAAATAATTAGTATTTGCCAGCAAGGGACAATGGGCTAAACCAAAATGGTGCCCTGGACTTGTTTTCATGTTTCCCTAGTACTCCCTAAGGTTTTGTTGAACCTTCCATTGGCTTCTCCCTGATAGTAGCTCTGCCCCAGGACACCATGAGTCCTGCTATCTCTCTTTAGGTCCCTTCATCTTTACCCTAAGGAAAAGCAGTTTTTCTGGTGGCAGCATATAATTGTGAGTGTGTGCCAATGAACTTACAAGGCAAGATAATTCATATGACTTTCCTTTTGGTTTAGCAAAAAAGCACTGGATGGAATATGTCAGAATACAAAAGTTCCAGCTCTTCTACTTACTGTTTTTCAGACCATAAGTTTTAGTTTTCTCATCTGGAGAGTGAAAGTAAGACTACTTGCACCGTCCATCTCAAAGGACTTTTGTGCAAATAAAATAATTGATGTGTTTGCACTATACAGTACTATAAACACGTAAGGTATCGAGCTATCAGTGCTCAGGCATGTGAAAGGGGTTTAGAAATCATGTAGTCCCAACCCCTCATTTACAGATGATGAGACACAGGTAGGAAGGAAGCCAGTATTCAAGTTCATGTCTTATGATCTCAAATCCAGATACACTACCTCTCTCTATTTCTGTCCCACTCCTCCCCATCTCAACCTCAAACATCCCTACCCTCTTCAACTTATTGAAGTATTTATAGCAGTTCTTTTTGTAGGGGCAAAAAACCTGAAAACAAAGAGGAATGAAATACTAATGTGCTATAAGAAATGAGAAGAAAACTGGGTTCAAAGAAACCTATAAAGACTTGTATGAACTGATGCAGAGGGAAGTGAGCAGAGCCCAAAGAACAATATATATTATAACATCATTATCATAAAAAAACAAACAACTTTGAAAGACTTGAGGACCAATCAACTAACCGAACAATCATTTTCCAGACGAGTAGTAAGGAAGAATGCTGCCAATTTGATTGGGAAATGGTGGACTAACATATAAAAGAAGAAATGCATTTTTGGATGTGACCAATGTGGAAATGTTTTGCTTGGTTATGTGATATAAAGATTCTTTCTTTATTTTTAGTTGGGGGTGGGGGAGTGTAGTGAGGGGGTGGAAGAGATGAGGAAAAAAAAAAAGAATGCTTGATTTTTGCCTCCTTTTCCCTGAAGTATCCAATACAAAGTTGAAATGGACTCGAAAGATCATTTAGTCCCTTCTCTGCGTTTCATGCAGACAGACATTGTTCTACTCCCAAAAATGAACGTTAGTTTTAAAGACCTTCCAGAGATGATGATGATAATTAAACTTCCCTAGGAATCCCTTTTAGCAAATCAATGTTGGGAAATTCTTCCTTGTGTTTCACTCAAATCCTACAGTTTTAAACCCATTTCTCAGGAGTATAAGAAGAGATGTTTCAGCCTCCAAAGTGGACGTCCTTGTAAATGACATCAGAAAAACTACAGCAGAAATCACAGTGCTATGATTTAGGGCACCTAGATCCCTCCTTTATGCCAGCAATCCAAATCCCCATTCCCCTTTCATTGAGATTTTCTGTCCCAGGACTGCTGTGTTGCAGCCCAGTTGTCATTTGAAATTTCCTTTATTCTGTAAACATCTGTGTTTAAAATAGATGAGTCTCTGATCACAGTTCACACAATGAACCCCAGACACAGGACAGCAATGTTCACAAGTCACAGAGATGGGCAGGGGCTCAGAAACCAGTGTCATTTCTGGAGCAAGGCTTCATGCCAACACAGCAGGGGCAGGGATGGCAGAGATGGGCTAATAAGCAAGGGGAGCCCTGCAATGGCCTAGGCTTCATGCCATTCCCACGGGCCATTTCTTAGGCTTATGGAAGGGTTATGAGACACCAACACTGTTACTCCCCCCTGCCCCAAACCAGGCTTCTGCCTTAAAACAAAACCCTATCTTCCACCAGCATCTGCCTCCCCTAACATGCCTTTTTGGTGATGAAGCCTTCTTTCCAGGACCTCTAGCAAGGGGTAGAATCTGGTCCCATCCTCCTGAGGAGGGAAATGTATATCTCTGCCTGATTTACAGAGAACTAGTGCCCATTACATTATTGTGGATATAGGGAGCGCTTAGTAAATGTGTGGATTGAATTGGAGGCTACCTTGATGTATAAGTTAGGATGAGCATACTGTGCCCAAAATAACACCGCCTTGCACTGACCCAGTGGGGCATCCCTATTTGAAGGCAAGATGCAGTCTGGCTTTATCTGCACCAAGATGCTGTGATTCCTCCTGCTCATATGGAATTTGTTTTGTACTTCTATAATACACTTATGTACCATTACATAGTATAGTCATCTCTGCTTGTGTCTTACCTTTCTACTAGACTATACACTCCATGAGGGCAGGATTCCAGTATTTTACATAAACTCTGTATGACCTCAAGCAACTAATAGTGCAGGCCCCCATCACTTCACAGTTGGACTATTGCAATACTGCTACTGGTTGGTCTACCTACCACTTTAGTCCATCCTCTGTTCAGCTGCCAAAGTGATTTTCCAAAACGCAGGTCCAAACATGTCATCGTCATATTCAATAAACTCCAGTGACTCCCTGTCACCTCCAGGATCAAATACAAAATCCTGTTTGTCATTCAAACCCTTTATAACCTAGCCCGACCTAGTCCTCCTCCCCCACCTTTCTAGTCTTCTTATACCTTATATGATCCACACCCACATACATACTCTTAGGTCCAATAACATTGGCTTCCTTGCTTACTATTCTATTAATAAGACCTTCCATCTCTCAGCTCTGGACATTTTCCCTGGCTATCCCCCATGCCTGGAATGTTCTCCTTCCTCATCTCTGCCTCCTAGCTTCTGGGGTTTCCTTCATGTCCCAACTAAAATCCCACCTTCTATAGGAAGCTCTCAATCTCTGATCAATTCTAGTGCCTTCCCTCTGTTGATTATTTCCTATTTATCCCATATGTAGCTTGTTTGTACTTTTTACTTGTTGTCTCCCCTATTACAGTGTGAGATCCTTGGGTGCAGGGACTGTCTTCTGCCTTTCTTTGTATCCCAGTGTTTAGCACAGTGCCTGGCACATAGGAGGCACTTAATACTTATTGATTATCAATTAAACATCTAATAGAGGCTTAATAAATTTAGCTGATTTAAGTGGAGTCCCACCTTGTCTCCTCTCCCTTAACCTTAAGTCTCTCATTAATTAGAAGTCCCACATGTTCCTGTTTTTCCTACCAGCCTCAACCTATTCCCATTCTTAACTTCCCTGACCTTTCTATAACCTGAGTTATGGGGAAAAGACTGAATTGAACTATTTAGATAGCGTGTTGTAAGGGGTGCATGGTCCCACACCCTTTACCCTTTGCCATGGTACTCAATGAATTTTACTTCTAAGCTGTTGAATCCCCAATAGTCTTGTTAGGACTCCTATCTGAGGTATCAAGAGGCAGCTGGATAAATGACCTCTCCTCTAGGCTGCTCCTATATTGGGATGCCAGGGTGGGGTAACCCCAAAGGAGAGCTGATTACCCTGATCTTCAAAGTGGCAAGCATACTTTCAGTCTCTTTAGACTTGAAGGCAAGTTGGCCCATCCTAGGACTATGACATGTGGAGCCTCAGGAACACAGGGGAAATTCCTAAATTAGAGGCTCTGAATAAACATCATAGCCTCCTTCTTTCCTGCTAGCAGTCACAGTACAATGAATTTCAGCCGGAAATATTCCATCACCATCAGCCCACTGGAGAAGTAAAATGTGCAACTTCATCCTTAAGGGTGCCCAGAATATCATTAAGAGCTTCTCACCTAGGATGTGGTACTTCTCCCACTCCTCAGCCTCATTCCTGAAACAAAGGTAGGATATATAAAAGTCTATGACCTTCTCCCACTAATTCTTTGTCAAGCAAATCCATGGATTGGGTTAGAAGGGAGTTGGGTTCAAGAAAAAGGTACTGAAGAGGTACAGCTTCCCTCCCCAGTCCCAAGGGATCATGGAAAAATGCTTTTCTCAGTTAGAAAGTGAAGGCAGAAAACTAATTCCACCTTTCCTTGAGGATGCAGTCCAAGAGAGAATTGTTGCCATCATCTCACAGACTACCCTCCTTTTCCATGGATTTTATACCTGGCCCCCCCAACCAATCCCTTAAGAATTTGTCTATATTGGTAACATTAGTCCTAAAGTCTTCCCTATAGTAGGATCTCATCTCCCTGATCTACCTGCTCCAAATATAGGAGCCCAGGAACAGGAACAGAAAAATGTATGTGCTTATGAGTAGGGAGAAGATAGAAGTGAGGGAAATGAGACCAACTTGACAAAGAAGTCAGTTTCCTCCCAAACAAGGGAGTTTTCTTCTCACCTACCCAGACTCCTTTTCCTGAGCTACTTCTTTCCTTTACCCAGCCTCCTCTTGATATTTTTTTTTCTGCTTCCATGTTTAATTTTCTAGTAAAAGACTGCTCCCAAAATGCTAGAAGTAGTCAGGCAGGGTCAGACACCAGAGGGCGGGGAGGGACAAAGTGGGTAGGTAGGCTCTGCCACATGCTAAGGTCCTATCCGGTGGGATGCTCACTCCCTCTGCCCTGATCCCTCCTGGTTGCCTCACAATACTGTGGCAAATATGATGCAAAAAGGATGGGACATGGGAATGAATGCCATAGGTGGTGGTACTCCCTGTGTCAGAGAGCACAGAAATAAAAAAGACTTACGAACTTGGCTCCAGCTCCTTAAACTAACCCCCACTTCAGGCGGAAGGAACAGAGGGAAGAAAGGAATGGAGGCATTGACAGCACTGATAGTACCAAAGGGTAGGAGAATCATGGATGTGTGTGTGTGTATGTGTGGCTGTGAGACAGAAAGAGGCAAAAGAGTGGATGTAGCTATGGTCTCAGGCACTCTAGGAAGGTAGGACCCAAAGAAGCAAGATGGGGGAGTAAAGCGATAGAGGTTGTAGATGCTTCTCACTACACGTCTTGGGAACACAGGAAGCCTGAGGCTCGGGGTAAACGTTTGAGGACACCAGTGCCTGGAGGGGAAGAGGTCACTGACAGAGGACAGGGACCCTGCTCCAGGGGCTGGACAATGATACCTACTGACATTCAGTGAAGTTATCTGGGTGGGGGAAGAGCAGTAGGGGAGTGAGACCCAGAGCCCTTTACTGTCCCCTGGTCTGTGGAGGGGAAAGTGTGGCACAGAGCAGGGGGATGCCCTGCACGGGTTCCTCAACACCAGCAATTTTTTGAAGAGTTCCCTGTGCCTTCAGTTTTGCTGTCTTTCTCTTCCAACTCAGCCAGCGCCAACTCCTCCCTGGCATGTGCTCGCAGACCATCAAGCTCTTTCTTGTGCGCCTGTAGAACCAACTCTGTCAGACGAGTGAAGGACTGGGAGGAAAAAAGACCCAGGTTAGCCCTGATCTTCCCACACTCTTCTAGACCTCTCCCCTTCTCGTGGCTACCTGAACTCTTGGCTCTATGAATATTTCTCTTTTTCCCTCTCTTTCCCTCACCTCCCCACCACGACTGGCTCTTTACCCAGGTAAAGCAGCTGTCACGTCCCCACCCTTGGCCCAGCCCACTTACCTCCTTTATGTTGAGGTTGGTGCAGGCACTAGTTTCAAAGAAGTCCATGCCATACTCTCTAGCCAGCTGCAAGGAGAAGAAAACCCCTGAGAGGGGGTTGGCAAGAGAGGAAGCATAGAAAGTTGCCCTTGAAATCCCTGGAAGCTGGTAGAGAAATCAGCCCTTCCTTGGAATTACCCATCTTTTCTACTTCCGGAGGATCTTTTCCCTTTGTCCCCATAGACAGCTCCTTAAATCTCTTCCCTGACCTCCCGACTCCCAACTTTCCCGTGACTCTTTCTAACTTCTTTCCCAGGGGATGAGTTTTTCATGCTTTATCCTATCTTCATCCCATTCTGTGGCCCAAGGATGAGGATAATGATGAGCAAATAATAGAGAGTTGGAGAAGGAAGGACGGTGCGACTTGGTTTCCTGGTTATTAGACAGCGCTCCTCCAGGCTCCTTCAGACAGGTTGCCCTAGACAGAGGCATTTTGTTTTTCACTGTGAAATCTCCAGCCTCGGTTCAAGCCCTGAACCCACCGAAGGAAGCTAGAAGTTCCAAGAGTTGAGGAGGCAGAGCATTTCCAGGCTTTACAAAAGCATGGAAGGGATATGTATGAAGAACAGCAGGTAAGTTTGGCTGCAGCATCACCTGCCTTGGGTAAGGAAGGGGAGGTTCAATTCAATTCAATTCATCAAGCATTTATTGGGTATTTTGGTTTGTGTGTGTGTGTTGTTTTTCAGTCATGTCTGACTTCATGACCCCATTTCAAGTTTTCTTGGCAAAGATACTGGAGTGGTTTGTAATTTCCTTTTCTACCTCATTTTATAGATGAGGAACAGGGTAAAGTGACTTGCTCAGGGTCACACAGCTAGTAAATGTCTGAGGCTGGCTATGAACTCAAGAAGATGAGTCTTCCTGATTTCAAGTCCGCCCCTCTATGCACTATGGCGCCACTTAACTGCACATTATTGGAGATACAAAGAGAGAATAAAAAACAGGCGCTGTACACAAGGAGAAGCCAACTTACATGGGAAATATCCATCTCTTCTACTTCCTTAGGAGAGGGGAGTAATGTGCAATTAGATTAGAAAAATGGGCTGAAGTTAGATTGTGAAAGACTTTAAACATCAGGTAGAGGGATTTATATTTTATTTTAGAGGCACTGGGGAGCCAATGGAAATTCTTGAGCAATGCAGTGACATGGCCAGACCATTGATTCTTTCGGAGCACCAGTGTGGTAGCTGTGTGGAAGACGGATTGGAGAGGGGACGAATGAAGCAGAAAGACAGATTATGAGTTTCCTTATTACAATAATCCAGGCAAGATTGGTGATGAGGCCTTGTCTAGACTACAGTGATTGGGGTATCAGGAGAAGGACTCAATTGATAAGATTTCAGATCTTGCTTAACATCCCATGTAGCCATCCACCAGTCACTAGGGCCTACCTCAAGAATGGGCACTTTGCCACCCAGTCTGCTCTTTGCCCCACTAGGAAAATTAACCTTCTAGATTCTCATTTCCACATCCACCCCTATCTCAAATGCTCCTCTACCAGATTAATTCTCTCATTTTTAGGACTATGTCCTGGGGCTGATCTATCTTGATTGGTGGAATTAGTGAAAACTTATCTAACCTACCTCAGAGTTTCTGGCCAAAGCAGAAACAACTGTTATTTACATTCATTCTGAGCCAATCAGGGCCCAAACAGTGACCAAGTAGGGTTTGGTCTGGGACCAGAGTGATTTGGGGTTAAGGCTGGTCTTTAAGAGAAAACAAAACAAAAAAAAAGTTTCTGAGATTAAAATTTACATTCCCTTTGGGCAGAGCACAGGAAAGGGTCTGATACCCTATGGGGAGAGAGAGAAGGAAGAAAAGAAAGGAATCTAGTTTTTTTTTAAAGAGGCCATTCTTTCTCTCTCTCTCTCTCTCTCTCTCTCTTTTATTAAGCCTTAATCCCTAAATAGGTGCTGCCTCAGTCAAACTGAGACCTGTCCTGATCCATATCTGGCCACTGGACCCAGATGGCTCTGGAGGTGAAAGTGAGGCTGGTGACTTTGCACAGCCCTCCCTCACTTAAATCCAATTCACTTACATGTCATGGCATCACCTCCATGATGTCATGGTCCTCTTCAAGAACAAAGGACAAACAGCAACCTAACTTCCCATCCCATTCACATCCTGCTTCACATCCCAGTCACCTGACTTGCCCCTATACTCCCTACACACCTTTGCACCTCATTTCCCACCTCTTAGTCTCTGACTCCATTCAAATTCTTGTAATTGCCTAGGCCAAAAGTCCCTTCCTGAACCACCACTCCCTTATTAGGAAGTCATCTCCCCTATTAGAATAGAACCTCACCCATTTCCATGTAGAGCGGTGGACTCAAAGTACCAATTGATGCAAATTTTGGGGGGGACAAGGTTAATGTGATTATTTGCTTAACTATACTTGTTTATAATAGGTTTTATTTTTCTTGCTTTCTTGGTGGAGAGATGGAAAGATAGAAAGAAAAGAATTCAGGGATGAAAATAAAATGAAATTGATTTTTGAAAAAGAATATAAGCTTTTTGAGGGCAGGGATGGCTACATATTCTTTATTTATGTCCCTCACAACTACCACAGAATCTGGTATATAGTAGGTATTTAACATACTTGTTGATTATCTGACTTGGCAGCTGAATGAATATTAGGGGTGAGATAGAGTGTAAAGAGTCAAGGGTGATTCCTACATTTCTGACCCAGGTAATTGGGAGAATGATGATGCCCTTGAAAGAAATAGAAAAGTGGGAATGTGAGAGGAGATGTCATATGGGGGTAGGTAGGAATGACAATGAACTAGACACGTTGAGTCGGACACACAACTGTGGAACATCCAGGTGGAGACCTTAAACCAGCAATGGGAGATCTAGGACTAGAGCCCAGGAGAGAAGATGACTGGAGAGATGGCTCTTCTGCATAGAGATGATTATAAAATCTAGAGGAGCTGATGAGATCACCAATATGGACACTATGTGAAGAGAAAAGAGGAGAAGATCTGAAGTACATCCAAACATATGGGTTTGGACCTGGAAGATGACTTGCAGAAGGGTCTGAGAGGGAAAGGTCTGACAGATAGGAAATGACCCATGACAGACAGGTGTCAAGAAAGCCCAGGGAAGAAAGAATATCTAGATTCAGAGGTTCCCAAAGCCCCTTGGGGGTGCTAGAACAATCCAGGGGGTAAGGGGGCAGTGGAAACATAAAGAAAGAAGAGAAGAAAATTTTGAAAAACCGTTTGTACATGTTTCAACTGTTTTGTAACAGAGTTAAAGTCACAGTGATTACATTGTTTTTCAAATAAACACAAAATGCAAGTTATAAGCAATCAGCTGTCAAGTACACTGACAGGCCTTAACAAGCAAGTGTTGGCAGATGAGCTTGTAGAGCATTGTCAGGAAGTCCAGCATGCGTTGGCAGGAATATGTGTATGTAATGACTTGTTTACAATACAATACTACGTGGTTATGTGATGCAATATTGTGTCATCAAAATTTCAATGCAGAAAAAAACACAAATTTACAATAAATTGTTAAATTTAAGATGCATCATTTTTTAAAAAAAATTTATATATTTTTTGAAATGATGCAAATTTTTTTTAAAAAACCGTTAAAGGGTTAAAGAAAGTAGATTTCCAGGGAGGTGCTGAGCAATTTTTTTTTTTAAAGGGGAAAGTAGGCCAAATAGGTTTGGGAACCTCTGAAGGAGGGGGTGGGGTAGTCCACAGTGCAAAATGCTACACAAAGGTTAAGAAAGATGAGAACTGAAGAAAGGCCACTGGATTCATTCATTCATTTGTTTATTTTGGGAGAGGCAAGGTTGGCAGAAGTTTATTGATGGATTGTTGATGCTGAGTCATTTGAGTTTGTGTCTGACTCTCTCCATGACCCATTTGGGGTTTTCTTGGCAAAGATGCTAGAGTGGTTTGCCATTTCCTTCTACAGCTCATTTTACAGGTGAGGAACTAAGGCAAACAGGGTTAAGTGACTTGCCCAGGGTCACACAACTAGTAAGTGTCTGAGGCCAGATATGAGCTAAGGTCCTCTTGACTCTGGAGCCAGCACTCTATCCACTACACCACCTAGTTGCCTGGCTGCTGGGTATTTGAGTGAATTCCGAATTAATTAGAAGGCAAATCTTAGATTTCTTAGATTAGAAGTTCTTGGAGTGTGCTAAAAGGATGTGTCTGGGTACAGACCTGGCGGGGGGCCTACAGTTGGCAGAAGCAATCTAGCTCTAGCAGGCAACAAACTGACCCATAGCAAGAAGTGGAAGGGGAAAAGCTGTTGAATTTAGCAAAAAAGAGACTTGGTGAATTCTGCAGAATAATTTCAACTGAAAGGGGAGCAGGAGGATGAAACTACATGGCAAGAGTTAAGAAATGAGTGAGAATTGAGAAAGTAGAAATGGGATCAAGTGAGGGCTTTGTTTTTTTAAAGGATGGGGGACATCTGGGGAGATTTGCAGGCAGTAGGATAATGAGACATTGAAAATTAGGGAGAGAGAAGAGATGATTGACGGCACAAACTCCTGAAGAATTCAGGAGGGAATTCCCTGAGAAAATTAGATTAAGGGCCCAAAACTGAGTTTGAGTCTTGCCTCAGGCACTCCCTAACTGTGTGACCCTGGACAAGTCATTTAATATCAATGATCCTCAGTTTCCTCATCACATATACCTATCTCACAGGGTAGCTGTGAGGATCAAATGAAATTATCAATCAATAAATAAACATTTGTTAAGTGCCTCCTATGTGCCAAGCACTGTGCTAAGCAAGTGCTAGGGACAGAAAAAGAGGCAAAAGACAGTCCCTGACCTCAAGGACCTTATAGTCTAATGAAGAAGACAACATGCAAACAAACCTATACAAAGCAAGCTATATACAGGATAAATTGAAGATAATTAACAGACAGAAGGCACTGGAATTAAGAGGATTTGTGTTCTGTAGAAGGTGGGATTTTTAGTTAGGAGTTAAAAGAAGCCAAGGAGGTCAGCAGTTGGAGAGGCGGGAAGAGTACATACTTTCCAACCTTATAGTATCATGTAAATGTGAGTTGTTATTATTATTTTTTTTTGTTGTAACTCTCTCCATCAGGGTCTGTGGTGCTTATACTTTATAATTTATGGTGATGATGACAATAAAGTTCTTTATGAAGCAGCTGTTCAGAAATAGAGCTTTGTTCTTCATCAAATCTCCTAGATTAGCCCATTTACCCCAGGGGCACCATTAAAGATTTGGTCGGGGGGGGGGGGGAGGGATTAAAATAATAATAATAATAATAGCTAGCACTAGAATAGCACTTTGCTTTAAAGTTTGCAAAACACTTTACCAATATTATCTCATTTGATCCTCACAACAACCCAGGGAGGTAGGTACTATTATTATCCCCATTATACAAATGAGGATACTGAGGCAGGAAGATACCAAATGATTTACCCAGGGTCACAGAACAAGTAAGTGACTGAGGCTGCAATTACTCTGTCCACTACACCCAGCTTTCCCTGAACTTACCTGCTGGCCTTGTTCTCTTCCCACTTGCCTTTTCTGTTCTTCATCAGCCTTATTCCCAATAAGGATTTTCTGGACTCCCTCTGGTGCATACTAGGAACAAAGAAGACAGGACCACTATGGCCTACTTGCCTCCCTTCCTTCTCACCTCCATTGCTGTAGAGTACCATTGTCCCCAGACCTCTGCCACAAAACCATCTCCAAGATCAGGAACCGCTGGGGCACTGCAGGTGGCTTGTCCATCCAGTTCCCCTAGCAATAACCTGGCTCAACTTATAGGGTATCTCAGAAGGATTGCCACAGTGGCAGCTTAAGGTACACAATTGTTTGCCTCAAGTTTGTGCTTTAGGCGTTTAGAGCCTCAGAATGTTGGAGCCAAGGGAGACTTGAATATGATCTAGGTCAGCAGTGGGGAACCTGCAGTCTCGAGGCCACATGTGACCTTCTAGGTCCTTGGGTGCAGCCTTCTGACTGAGTCCAAGTTTTACAGAACAAATCTTTTTATTAAGGGGATTTGTTTGTGAAGTTAGGATTCAGTCAGAGGGCCGCTCTTCAGGACCTAGAGGGCTATTCTTGAGGCTGCACGTTCCCCACCCCTGATCTAGGCTAAGCCCCCTCATTTTACAGATACTCTAAGACTTCAAGGGCTTTTCAATTTGGAAGGATCCCCATCAATCAGGCTCTTTACCATTCTCATATCATGGACCTCTTTGGTGGTTTAGTGAAAACTGTGGACCTCTCCTCAGAACAATGTTATTAATATGTATATATATATATAGATGATAAATTACATAGGATTAAAAAGGAAACTAAAGGTTAGTGAAAATAAAAATGGAATTTTTTCCCCATCCATGTTCACTGACCCTGTGAGATCAGTCTATGGACCCAAGGGTAAGAACCCCATCACAGGGCATCTAGTCTAACCCCCTCATTTCATAATGAGAAAAACAGAGGTCAGAGAAGTGAGATGACTTGCCCAAAGTCACCAAGCTAGTTATTAGGGGAGCCTCAATGAAGACCCAGGTATCTAGACTCCCATTTGATTCTATCCTATCCAGTCCTGGAGACCTATGGAAAAAAAGTAGTTCATAGATCAGGGTGAGAGTTGAGGCAAATCTTGACCCAAACTAAGTCAGTGGAAGAAATATAGAGTGTGATAACTTTGAACTCTTCTTGGGGTCTTGCTTTGGTCCTCAATCCATGGGCACTAGGACTTAGAATTTATTCTTCAGTCTCAGAGCTCTACTCCCTCCCCTCTCACCTCCTGCCTTCACTTAAAGGGAGATGTGGTTTGTCTTACCTCGTCCACATCACTGACCCACTTCATGATGTGCTGGTAAGACCGCTCGCTGCTGATGTCATAGACTAAAAATATTCCCTGAGATAAAGAGAGAGAGAGAATGAGGGATACACACAGAAATACACAGAAAAATATCCTGAGAATTAATGAAGTCGAAAGAGGGCACTTGAGTATCATAACTGCTGGGGCCCAACCTCCCTTCTTCTGCGCTGGGCATGTGTGCTATGCTGACTACCCATCCCCTCTTACCGCCAACCCCAGCTCTTAATGTCCAAGCCACTTCGGTTTTTGATAAAATTTCCTTTGGTCTTCAGGAGGTGATTTTCTGTCCTCAATTAATCCACTTATGTATATATCTCTGTGTGTGTGTGCCATATCCTTCTGACTCTATGTTCCACTAGAGAAAAGGTCTTGTCTTCACGCAGTAGGAAACAAAAAAATGTTTGTTGAATTGGATATTGCTCCAAGGATCCCCCACCTTCTTCAGAGACCATTTCATTTTTATCTTTGTATTCCATTGCCTAGAACGTAGTAGGTCCTAAATCATTGCTTGGTTGTTATTGTTTTTGTTTTTTGCAATTGGGGTTAAGTGACTTGCCTAGGGTCACACAGTTAGTAAGTGGCAAGTGTCTGGTCTGAGGCCGCATTTGAACTCAGGTCCTCCTGACTTCAAGGCTGGTACTCTATCCACTGCGCCACCTAGCTGCCCCCTAAATCATTGCTTGTTGATTGATTGACCTCCTGATACTCTGGATGACCCCAAGACCCCAGTCACACTTCTCCATTTTGCACTTATGCATTATTTTGTACTCTAGTCATATGTGTATGAATCCATTCCAGGGCTTAGTACAGTGCCTGACACATAGTAGGTGCTTAATCAATGTTTTTTGACTGACTGATTAACATTCTCTAAGACCATTAAGTCATGGAGGGACTGCAGTCTGTATCACTACCACAGTGATAAAATCACTATGGGAATATATGTATCATAATCCCCCTCTACTAAATTGTAAGCTTCATGAAGGCAGCAAATAAATTGAAGAAAGAAAGCATTTAGGAGAGATTTGCTCTGGGTGAATCTGTGCTAAATGTTGGAGATAAATTTTAGAGGCTTTGTCTTTGTTAAGTTTTGTATCTCCTTCAGCATCTAGCATCACAAAAAGGAAGAGGTCTCCAATGGAATGGAAAGAGAAACTATACCCTGAACACTCATGGGCTGCAGGCTCACAGTTCATGACCTCTTGCATCTTTCCCATAAAGCACAATGGCGTTCTTAAATTTCTACGTCCTAAAGGAATGTTAAAATGACCTTGACGTAAGCCACTCAGTTTACATTAATCCCCTGAGGCTACTCATCCCCATATTGTCCATTTCTTTGTTGCCTTCAGGAAGCAGACAGAACAGGTAAAACTGCACCATCCCCACTGGAGAAGGCTGTCACAGAAGTGTTAGAACAGGCATTTAATAAATGTTTGTTAAGTTTGCTGAAAATATGGAAACCCACATACTCTTCTCCATATTCAAACTAAGGGTATTTCTTCCAGCATCCTTTGCACAGAGAACTGCAGAATCAAGCCTCTCTACCCTCCAACTTCCTGGGCAAGGGACTCACCTGGGCCCGTCTGTAGTACTGCTTGGTGATGGTCTGATATCTTTCCTGCCCTGCAGTATCCCTGAAACAGAAAACCAGGTTCTCCAGAATAAGGACATGGTACAGAGAGAATGGGGAGGGAAGGAGTGAGAAGGAAAGGGAAGAGAATCTTATCCTGAAAGAGGACAAAACTAGAGAGTTGAATGTGTAAACCAATAGAGCTTTATGCTTCAGGACCTGGCAGGAAATAGGGACCTGATTATGAAGAGGAGAAGCCAGATCTGGCTATGAGTTTACATGACAGAAGACACACTAGACTAGCCTCCTTGCCCTCCGGGCAACCATGCATCTGAGCCAGAAAAGGCAATGGAAATGGGCATCTCTGGGAAAGTCCGAACATATGGCTGGATGATGGGAGAGAGGACTGCTTTAATCCCTAACCTGTCACCCTCAGTTCTCCAGGGATCTCCCTGAATGCCCCTCCTACATTGCTCCAAGGTCAAGATACAGTTCCTACACATTCCAATATTGCGTGGGGTTTTGGATCAGAGAGCCACAGTGACTTCTTGTGGTCACATATGGAAACTGCACCATGGTTCTCTGGGAGGTCCCCAAAGTTATAGAACTTGCCTTCACACAATGGTTTCCCTATCTCTTCTTTCCCTCTTCCCCCCCTCCCCCACGCCTGTACTGTGAGACACAGTACACAAGAAAATTTGTTTTGATTCTCTCTAATCTATAACCCTTTTATTTCCCTCCCCAAGAGATGTTTGAGGATTCTCGGGGGGAACCTAGGACATATATAGAGCAGGGCCAATTTAAAGTTTGTTGCTGTTCAGTCATTCAGTTGTATCCACCTCTATGTACCCCATAGACAAGTGTCTATGGGATTTCCTTGGCAAAGATACCAGAGTGGTTTGTCATTTCCTTCTCCAGTGTGTCCCCATTTTAAAGATGAGGCAATGAGGCAAGCAGGGATTAAGTAACTTGCCCAGGGTCACACATCTAGTAAGTGTCAGAGTCTGGATTTGAACTCAGAGCTTCCTGACTCCAGGCTCAGTGACAGTTTAAAGGTAGCCTAACATTAAAGTTGGGCTGCAATTCTGTCCCTCTCTTCCCCAGGAAGCAATCCCACATGCCTGCTGCTTCCTTGTTCTCCTCCCATCTAACTCACCAAATCTGTATCCGAACTTTGATGCCATCTACTTCTATAGTCTTCATCTTAAAGTCAACTCCTGAGGGGAGAGAGGAGAGAAGGAACAGGTTAAGAGATGCCCCCATCAGAATTGAGAAAGCTCAAGGAAAAACTCGAAATTTATAAAGGGCTAAGGAACATGACTGGAGGACTCCCTCCTCTCGCTCTGGCAAGAAGACAGGGTCATGTGAAGCAGAGAGCTGCTGGGGAGGGAAGAGGCAGAAGTAACATAAGGGAGTTTTTCATAGTTGCCTCAATTAACAGCTTTAAAACATCCAAAATCTGTCTTACTGTACTTGTGTGAAGTCTATTTATACATTCGGGAAGAGCTTCTTATGTTTACCCCAGCCTAGAGTTTTAATCCCTAGAAATAGCAACCAAACCAACTGTATACTTTGTTTTTTTCCTTCTACCACATTGATCTTGAGGAGGGATTATCACACTCTCCTGAACACTATCAGCTGATCAGGGGGATGTTTACAGAGCTTGGAGTGGGGAAAGGACAGCCTTATCTTAACTCTTATCTTGGACCATTGTACACATGTGTGAAAACCAGGGTGGGTTGGAAAGGCTACCATGGCCCTAGGCATTTGGGTAAGAAAAAAAAAATCCAATAGAATATCAGGCCCTTTAGAATTGTATATGTACATAAGCCTAAGGTACATGACACAGGCAAGCCCAATCTACCGTTAAAACCAGTCCAAAACAGAAGCATTTGCCCACTTGTGGGGAGATCTGAGACAAAGGGAGAGAATGTAATGTGTCACCAGCAGAGATGGGGAGTAAATTTGTCAAGAGGCAAAGAAATGTTTCCAGCTTCTTCAAAGGTAAGTGACTATACTGCATGATAGTCTCGAGGAAGACTGACCACAACACTCATGTTAGTTTAAACAATCTGGGCTCTATTTCATGTGTCATTTGGGTAGTACTGCATGAGTTTTCATCAGCTAGAGGGACAGGCTTAGTATTATATTAGATGAATTGTGTCCTCAGTTAGCTCCATACCTAGAAAAGTGGATAACCAAACAGACACATCAATATGTTAAGGTATGTAAGCCAGACAGCACCTCTGGATTTCCTAGGTCTAATTATTTATGTTAGAAAAAGTTCATAGTAAGAAAGTGGATATGGCATCCAGTTTCTGGGGACAGCAGTTGGTAGAGTACCTAGTGCGTAGAAAGAAGTTAATAAATGCTCGTTGCCTTGACTTCCTACCCTACTTTTGTGTCTCACCATTTAGGGCTTGGGCAACTGCTCCCCTTTGTCTTTACTCTCACACCCAATTACTCTTCTTCCTCTCCCCTCCCCAAAACCCCTTTCCCCAATATATCCACCTAGGCTATCTTCTTCAGGACTTCAACCTTTCATATGTGAGACACATTTTTTCTCTACCCTGACCTCTAAATTGGACCCTGTCCTATGTTAAAGATCCTTGCCTCTTTCATTATCCCCAAAGTGCCAGCCTCCAACATGGACACTGTGAACAGAACAAAATTAAAATTGCCTCTGATTCTATTGTATTGATTTTACAATGTAACTGACTTTATGCTATATTGATTTTTATAACTGAGTATTTGCCTGAACTCACCTTGCTCAGAAATGCAATTTTCCCTCTTAGTTAGTTTAAAAGTATGGTTGAAAGGGAATGTTGTTAGCACTCATGCAGTTAACTGCTGGGACATATGTTTGTTGTCTGTAAGCTCCAACCAGCTTGACCTTGTGTCACCCCCCCCCCAACAAGTCTTCTGTGCTTGCCTGTCCTTGTGCAATTAGGGGAGGTTTGATCTCCCCAAAGGGGACAACAAATCTGGTGGTTCTGATTTCCTAGCCAAGATTATGAGAGGCTGATGAGTCCCATAAAACAATTAACATTCCTTAATTGTCAGAAAAGAGTATGATTAGCCACACCTGAATGCCAACTCACTTTTCCTAGTTTAACCTAATGTAAGATTCCAAAACTGGCCAGACCTCCCCTCCTTTTCTATATATAAAGAGGGTCCCCTCCCCTTCTCACTTAAGTCACTGGCCTTACTGAGGCAGCCAGTGTGACCCACTTTATTAACAGTTATATGTATCACTTTTAATAATCTGATTTTGCTCTGAGTCTGTGCCTCAGTCTACCTTTATTGCATTTACTTGTCACAGCTCAGAAGGACTATTCAAAGTTCAAACTTCAACATTCCCAAGTCAAAGCCTCATTTTACCCACCTTAGTGGTCTATTCCTTCTTCTGCAGACCTTCCCAAGGGCCAACAATCACAGGCTAATGTGATTTAACAACGGATGAGACCTTGAAAATCAAATATGGGAGGCTAGTCTTTTCTAATGTACATATTTTGAATGGAAGGTCTTTAGCTTCTAGGCTTCACTTCATAGCTGGCTGTTAAAGAGGCAATGTGGTGCAAAAGAAACAACTCCGTGTATGGAGTCAGAGGAGCTATCACATTCAGGCTTTGCCGCTTATTACCACTGTAACTTTGGGAAGCCACCAACCCTTTGGGGGCTGTTTCCTCATCAGTAAAATGAGGGGGTTTTCTAGAGAACTTCTAAGGCCCCTTACAGCTCTAAATCTATGATCCTTACATCATTCTCTTTCTCTGAGCCTATTTACCTGGTGAATTTGCTGGTATAAAAAGATTATTCCATCCATTCTTCATCCTGAGGCCAGCATTTGCATAGCTGTGATAGTCTGACCCATGACAGTGGAGTTTAGGTAATTATACTTTCTATCTGTACACCACCATGACCAGCCCCTGCCAGGTAAACTCTTCTTCAGGAATTGTCCCTCATTGTCTAACTTTTAGTGCTCCCTTGGAGGAAGGCTGAAGGATGGATATTGCTAATTCTTTTCCACTTTCATTTGAGAGAAATTTATTTTTAGTGGATAAGTTGTACCCCAGAGAGGCAACATTGGCATAATGAACAGGGAACTGTCCTTAGAATCAAGAAAACAAGGGTTCAAGTCCTCTCTTTGATGAATACTAGCTGTGTGATAAAGGCTAAGTCACTTGACCTTTCTCTTTTTAAAAAAATTTTTTTATTCTGAATTGAACAAACATCAAATAGCATGGGCATTTACCTACACAATGTAGAACAGAAAAAGGAGGCTATTGCATGAAATAGGAGGTTCTATTACATATAGAAGAGTGGTGATAGGTGATACAATGAATAGAGCACTGGACTTGGAATCAGAAAGACTCGAGTCCAAATCTGATCACACCTTCTAGCTATGTAACCCTGGACAAAATCACTTACCCCCACCTGCCTCAGTTTCCTCATCTGTAAAATGGAGATAATAACAGCACCTAACTACCAAGGTTGTTGTAAAAATAAAATGAGATAATTTGGAAAGCTCTATATAAATGCTATCTATTATTATTATTACTACAGCTTGCATTTTTTTTTCAATATAGAAGATCAACCCATATCAAAGCTGTCCTGCTTCTTTGGTCTTCTTTCTTTGTTTTTTAATACTTTTTTTTTTTTTGAGATAACAGGGTCACACAGTTAGTATCTGAGGCCAGATTTGAACTCAGGTCCTCCTGACTCCAGGTCCAGTGCTTCATCCACTATGCCACCTAGCTGCCCTCTGGTTTTCTTTCCTTCTTTTCTCTCCATTTTAAAAAAAGATGCCTCAATGACTCTCTTTTCAGTCTTAGAGTTTTTTGTTTTCTTTTATTTTTTTTTTCTGTTGCCCTATCTGTATCTTCCCTTACCTTCCAACATTCCCCCTTCCTCACCGTGGGATAGGATTACTTACGTGTATTGTACAAATAAGGAACAGAGACAAGAAGTGATTTTCCCAAGGTCAAATACTGAGACTATAATGTTTAAACAGAAAACAAGTACCTAGGCACAACATAGGAACCCTCCCTCCAAACTCCAGGGGTTCCCAACTACCAAGAGAGCCTTCTTCTGCCTCTATAATCCCAACCAGTTCTTTCAAAGAATTCCTCACTTGAACCCCAAATGATAGGGTTTGTCCACTCATCTATCATTGGAGCGTGTTACAAGCTTTCCAAAAAACTAGACAGATTAAATCCATTTTCTCTCCATCCAGACCAATAATTATTTAATTAGAAATGAACCAAATCAAGCTGGTCAGACATGATTCATTTTTCACCAGTCGGGCTGACTCATATCTATTGAGCTGTACTTTTCCAAGTGGGCAATGCCTGGCAGCCTAGAACAAGAGCACACACATGCAAGAGGGATATCGGATGTGAACCACGCTGAAATGTTCAGGCTTGATCTCTCTCCCCAGGACAAACAGTTACTATGGTAAATTCACATACCTGAGCACTGTACCTTGTAGGATCAACATAGTGCTGCACCCACAGGAGCTACTCAAAAATGACTATCAATCATTGAGCACTTATTAAGCACCTACTATGTGCTAGGCACTGTGCTACCTCCTAGGGACAGATACAAGAAATGAAACAATTCCAATTTTCAAGCAGCTTATATTTTAATGGAGGAGACATCAAGGTTATAGACGTTGTTGTTGTTGTTTAGTCATTTCAAGTCATATCTGACTCTTCAAGACCGCATTTGGGGTTTTCTTGGGAAAGATACTGGAGTGATTTGCCATTTCTTTCTCCAGCTTATTTTACAGATGAGGAAACTGAGGCATACAGGGTCAAGTGACATGCCTACCAGGGTCACACACCTAGTAAGGGTCAGAGGCCAGATTTGAACTCATGAAGATGAGTCTTCCTGACTCCAGGCCCAGCACTCTATCCACTGCACCACCTAGATGCCCAGGCTATATAGATATAGATATAGATATCGATATTGATATAGACACAAATGCAGATATAGATATCAATGTAGATATATATACATAGATGTGTATATATACAAAATAATTACAAAATAGTTGATTGATAACAATGTATCCATAATGTATTAAAGGCTTTCATGGTTTCTAAAATCTTTATAAGGACCATGTGAAACAAGAATTGTGTGGCCATGAATTGCCATCAACAATACATATCAGGAAACTGATACACAGAAAGACTGAATGCCTTGCACACGGCAA